TCCTCCTCCCTGGAGCTCTAGGGGAAGGCTCAGAACCAAACTGGCCATTAAATGTCACCTGGGCTAGCTAGTCCCCATGGCTCTTTTCTGCACTGGGCTGGGCTGAGCTGGGCATTAGAATTGCCTGGGGATCTTTTCAGGAATAGAAATTCCTGGAGATTTTGATTCCAACAGCGTGGGTGTGAGTGGAGGATGGAGGTTAAGAGTTCTGGATGTCAAACTACTGGAGTTCACGGCCGAACTCTGCAAGTGGAGCAAGTGACCTTGAGCTGCCAGTTTCCTCACAGAATGAAGGGAACAATGGGCCCTGCTTCACAGGCAGCAAGATTTTCTCTGCCTTCCTCCATCCCTTGGGATCAGGGTTTTTATGACGCTCACCATCATTGTCACCTTCTACTGCCCCCACTCTTTCCTTCCTTCTTCCTTTCTTTTATTCTAATATTTCCTTACCCCTGACACGCAAAAGGGCTTCCATGAGGTGCAACCTGGTCGCCTTCCATTGGGCAGCCCGGACCCCAGGTGGGGCCTGACCATCTCCTGGATCCCACACTCTGTTGCAGCAGCCCAGGAAGGCATTAGCATTTCTGGCAGCCACAGCAGTCTGCTGATTCACCCTGAGCCCCCATCAACTCAAGTTCTCAAATTGTTTTTTTCGCAAGTTTCTTCTAATCCACAGCTTCCCCACTCAGACTTCTGCAGCCGGTTTTCTGAACCTGACTGCAAAATCTCACATGTGCACCTAGTAAAGCTCATTTCAGCACATCCTTCCAGGTTATGGAGATTTGGGGGGCTCCTGATTCCATTTTGGAGGGGAACCTTTAGTCCTCCAAGCTTCATGCCATCTGCAGATGCCCTTACCAGGCTGCCTCTAGGTTTCCATCCAGCAGCCCATTTATTCAGTCATTTCTTTGTTTCTGCACCAAACTAGGACTGAGATCCTACTGTGTACCCAGCTCTGTGCTGGGCCCCGGGGACCCAACAGTGGCTAGACGGATGAGGAAGCTGTGGCCTGAGCAGGAATGGGACTCATGCAAGGTCCCAAATCCAGTCAGTGGCAGGGCCGGACTGGGATCCAGGGCTCCTTTCTCTATACTCACGGGGCTTCTGGCTGCAGGGTTGGGGCAAAGCTCACCCTACTCTTTTGCCTTCCCCCGACCTGCTCTATGGGCTATGACACTATCTGGGCTCACCTACCCCTACCTGCTATGGCATGAGAAACTTCAGGGCTGCTGGAGACCTTATCTGACCCCCTGAAGCAGAACAGGGAGCCCCAGTGCTCACTGACGCAGCCCACGGCCACACAGCCCTGTCCCTCCCTACAAGGGGCAGTCGGCCACACACTCAGGCATACTCATCACCATAAACTCAGCTCTGCCACTGGCCTGCCTTACTCTGCAGGCCCTTCCCTGCAGGGCAGAACTGCCACCTGGCTGGTTCTCCCAGAGCCTCCTGAGATAGTGGACCTGATGTATACCTGGTTGCTTTGGCAAAGACCCTGAATCCAGTCAGGTTGAGGCTTGAGCTCATCGGGGGGCTTTCCTGGGAAACAGCATGGTGTGTTCGGGTTGAGAGAGTATGGGTTTAGGAGTCACAAAGTATGGGTATGAGTCCCCCATGGAACCTAATATCTCTGAGATTCAGGTCCCTCAGCTCTAAAATGAGACACCATTAGAGCCTCACTGAGTTGTTGTGGGAATGCAATGAGATGCTATTGGTGAAAGTGCCTGGCATGTGGTCAGAAACACACTGGTTTCATCCCGCCCTCCCTCCCTTCCTTCCCTTTAAAGAGGTAAAGCAAATATGCCTCTAAAACTGGGCTTTGTTTCTCACTGCAGTCCTGTGAGCTGGGGGGCGGGTGGGCAGGACAGAGCAGACGGGGGAGGCAGTAGGGCCAGCGAGTGGAGGCAGAGAGGGGCAAAGTGTCCCTGGAGCTGACTAATGGACAGCTGCAGGGCTGTGAAGAAGCCACTTACCAGGTGTAAACCTTTAGCCAGTGACTTCTCCTCTCTAAGCCTGTTCTCTCATCTGTAAGATGAGGGTAAGATGAAATGAGATATCGGATGTGAAGTGCCTGGCACAGCACTTGTACCTAAGTAGGGGGGCTTCATAAACATTCCCACCCCCTGGCCCCAGAAAAAAAAAAATCCCCATTCATGGCTGGGAAACTTGAGCAAATCCCAGAATGGGATTCAGTTTCTTCTGACCCCACAGTCTGTGAGGAGCAGTGAAATCTTTCTTGCTAGGAAGGTCTCTGTGTGGACTGCTCTGGGGATTTGTGTTTAAAATCGTCACCAGCTAACTCACTGGTGTCCAATAGCACCACCTAGTGCCCAAAAGTGTAGGGGCCCTCCCGCCTCATCCTGCCTTGCCTCCCTACTTCCTTCCCTCAGTCGTTTGTGTGTGTGTGTGTGTGTGTGTGTGTGTGTGTGTGTGTGTGTGTGTTTGGGGACTCAGGGGGGCACTATTATAGGATGGTAGGATGGTAGGCCTGGGCCACTCAAACCTTTATATCCAAGTAAGTGGAGAACTCATGCTATTTTTCAAGATGTCTAGTCCCTCTGCTTCCCTCCCAACAACTTCTGCCATCCACAAATGTGTAGGACTCTAGGTAGGGCCCTTGAGCCTTGCTGGGCCTTAGTTTCCTCCTGTAAGGATTGCAAGGCTTCAGGTTAGGGTTGATTCAGGCAAGGTGCCTGGGAAGTACCTGATGCCTACTGGGTACCCATCTATGCTTACTCAATAACCCAGAGAGACACAGTCTTTACACACCCTTGATATTTTTATTGAGGAGAAAGCTTTAGCATACAGAACAACTTCTTATCTTCACAACACAGTAATGCAACAATGACACAATCACAATAACACATTTATTTCAAACGAGTTTCCTCCCGAGTCTCTGGGAGTCCTTGGGCTGCCTTCACACCCTTGCATGCATTTTCCCCCCCAACCCCTCTTTCAACCCAAGAAGGCACCCAAAGCCCATAGTTCCTCTTACAGCTCTTATGGCTGTTACATCACAACAAATATTGAAGATCTGGGAAGAGGGGAAGAAGGTCAAAGGGAAGTCCAAGTCCCCTTGCCACCAGAGGGCCAGAAACCAGCTCACTGCTCATCAGCTCTTTCCCTGGCTGAGGCTGCAAGGGCTCAGGGTGAGAAGCACCATGGGAACAGGCGGGGCCTGTGCCGAGGGGGTCCCTGGAGGTGGGGGTGCAAGGCACCTGTCCTTTGCACTTCTCCGGCAGGGACATGGGCAGCAGGACCAGCGTGTCGACCTTCACCAAACAGGGTCCACAGCCTCGAAAAATGGTGGTTCCTCTTCTGGAACTCTCTCCTGAGGAAAGAGCTGAAAAACAGACAAAATTTTCTTTACAGGGTTGTTGACTCCTACACTGATGGGGATGGGGAAAACCAGGCAACTGAAATGTCTAACAAATTAGGAGAATGCTTAAATAAATTATTCAGTATGCATGACTGCATAGGTGGCAGCCATTTTAAATCCTGCTGATCAAGAGCTTGCAGGATGATCTGAGCTTTGAAAAGATGCGAGGACACACTAGAAAGAAAGGCAGCCAAGTGTTCATAGTGCTTGCGTCTGTGTGGTGGGATTCTGAATGTTTGGGGTTCTCTGTCCTTACAGTTTTCTCTATTTTCAAAATTTTCTATAATGACTATGTATTATTTTTCTCTTCACAGGGGGTGGGGGCCGGGGGGCGGCTTTTTAAAAGGTAGCAACAGGTTATAGGAGCCCAGCTCCACTGATCCCCAGGCTGAGAAATATGTGATAAACAAAAGGGCTTCTTACCTCCCACTGAAGAATAGAGACCTCACCAGAAAGCAGCTGGGAGGACTGGGTTTCTCTGTGACTCCTCTTTCTCCAGCTTCTACCTCTTGCCTCCAGGCTCAAAATTCTAAGGCTGGGCTGAGGTTATCTGTCAGACTCCGATGAGGAACAGAGGCTTAATTTACCATGTTTTCTTCCCTCTGGCCATAGACACTTTGGCTGCACTCGCTCAGCTGCCAGCACTGTGCAGGAAGCTCAGTGTCAAGGGCAGTTCAAGTCAGCAGTGGATTTGGCTGGCATTCTGTGGCCAGAGTGACATAATGTGTATTTTTCACTACAGAAGCAGTGTTTTCTGGACCCATGGCAAGCAGCAGGACTTTCTAAGGGTACCTAGGTTAGCACCTAGAAGTCCCAGAAGTTACTAGGAAGCAGTCCCCCTCTTAAGCCTCACCATCTAATCAAAGCCCCACACCAGGCCATGGCTTGCCCCCCATGTGAGAGACCTGAGGACATCCCAGCTGGAAGGCTGCAGTGGGTGCAGTCTCTTGTAGAGAGAACCTTCCTCTCTCCTCTCAGAACTAAGGAATCCTTTAAGTCAAAGTTAAAGACCAGGCTTTGGGCCCTCTCTCTCTTTGGAGGTCTGGGAAGGCAAGGCCAATTAGGCCTCCTCCGGAATCCCAAGGATGGCAAGTCTCCTGCAAAAACCTTTGGCTGGGGGCTGCAGTCCAAGGGGAAGGAGACCACTGTCCCTAAGGAAAGAGTGACTGCTTACAATGTCAAACTGAGTTAGTTGTTACTGCTTCTTTCTCCTCCTCTGCCTCCTCCCCCACCCAACTGCTGACGCTTTAGGCAACATTAAGGAAAAGGGAAGAGCCTGGGACATTGGTCTCTTGGACATTGGGGGTGACAAGGAGGGCAGTGTGCTAAGAGGAGAGGGCCCCAGATTTGGCAACCCTGTCCAAGGCCCCTGATACAGTAGTCTGTGGGAAGATGAAACCAGCTTGCTCAGTCAGTCAAGGACAAATCTCAGCCAAGTTGTCCATTTGATTTGTCATTTTGTACACTGTCACTGAGCTAGATGTAGCATCCTCTTCGGGACCCTTCTGCTGGAGGTGTGGCTTGAAGCAAGTGCAGGCTTCTGGGCACTTTTCTTGATACCATCCTGCTCTCCACCGATTATATCTAGTAAGTGGCCTCAATGGCTTTAGGAGTTCAGTGCAGCCTGTCCTTTTGCTCATTGGGGCAGGTCAGTGAGGCATTGGGTGAAGTCATGGTGAGCCAGTCAGAGGATAAAACCGTAGAACACAGGGTGACTAAACACAGGAGAGGTGAGGGTTAGGAATAACTAGAAGGGAAATACAAGAGGGTGACCAGTTCATTTATGGGAACAGGCCCGGAAACCTGCTCTCTAGCTTGTGGCAGGACTGAGCAGAGTCCACGCCAAGAGGACAGCTATTGCTGATCCCTCTCCTCCCAGGTGGCTTTGGTCAGGCACGTGTCGCTTGCTGGTCATGGCTGCAAGAAGGTCTGGAGTTCTACAGGTCTTCTTCAGGTTCTGCAGGTCTGGAACTCCCTTAAGTACTGGTCAGCAAATGGGGCAGGTGTGGCAGCAATAGCAGGGGTAGGGGACGCAGTAGAAGGGTGTGTTCTGGGTGGCCATCTCACCCCAGCACTCACACGCGAATTCGGCCACGTGCAGCCCGGTGGCCCCCCTGTCTCGGAGTGAGGCGGAACAGCACCGGGGGACGTCTTCGAATTTGGCGTTGCCCCAAGCGACCTGCACGGCGAATCAGTGGTGGTGAACTGTAGAATGGTGAATTGGTACCTGGAAGGCCCTCCAGAAGTGGAACTCGGTTCTGGTTCCTCCGTCTGCTGGGCTGTATTATGGGAGGTGATGCCTCTAGGAAATTTTCATGATAGTAGCCAGAAGTCTGAGATGAAGCATGGGCATAGGTCGGCTCCATCTCCATCAGCTCGTCTAGGTCATCATCTTGGGTCTCATCCTCTGTCTCTTGCTCCTGTTCTGGCTCCTGCTCTGGTTCTTGCTCTGGCTCCTGGCCCCAATCCTCCTCCTCTTCTTCCTTATCTTTATTCGCATCTTTCTCCTCATTCTTCTTCCTCATCTCCTCCTCTTCCTCATCCTCCTCCTCCACATCCACCTCCTCTACGTCCTCCTCCTCCTCCTCCTCTTTCTGTTTCATCTCCTCCTTCTTCCTCATCTCTTCCTCCTTCTTCCTCCTGTCCTCCTCCTCCTTCTGCCTCATCTCTTGCTGAATAGCTCTCACGCACCTCCACTGGTCCTTGTTGTAAAGCCTGTGCCTGCGTGCCTCTTCATCTTCAGCCCCACTGTAGTAATCTTCACTTTCATCGATATTAGAATCTGCAGCAAAAGGGAAGAAGATATTTCGAACCCCAGGGAGCGGGACTGGCTTGGGGACACGCACTTTTCTTTCTATCTCCACACATTCGAGAATCAGCTCGTCCAGGTCGGCCATTTCAGTTGACCATAAGAGCTCCTTACGGAAGAATTCTGACAGGCCTTTGAGAAATTGGTTTTGAAGGCGGCAGTCATCCCACGACAAGAATTGGGCCAGGAACTGAAAGGCATCTGCATAGCTGCCAAGGGTACAGTCTCCCTGCTTGAGCTTGCGAATGGCCTTTTTAGCCACACTTGGTGGGATAGGGCCACAGAATTCCTTACGGATTTCATCCAGGAAGCGCGGGAAGTTGGCATGCAGGGGGCTTCCTTCCTGGGTGACTGAGATGGCCCAGTCCTTGGCTTCACCAGTGAAAAAGGAGATCAGAAAGGCCACTCGCTCAGCGCCCCCGGGGAAATGATCCTCATGGTCGACTATGAAGGTCTCCAGCTGCATAAGGAATTCAGCCAGGTAGACTGGGTCGCCAGAAAAGGGCTCTATCTCAGGCCGCTCCAGCAGCGGCAGAAGAGGCTGCGAGGGCAGCTCCTTCGATGGGAGCGGGGGCAGCACCGGCGGGGGCGGGATGGGCAGCGGAGGAGAGTCGACTAGCCCGTCCGATGTGCCGCAATCCTGGATCACGCTGATCAACAGTTCGTCTGAGGCATACTCGGGCTCCATGCGCGGGGGAGGCCAGCACAGGAAGGGGAGTTCGCCCTCAGGAACGGCGTCGATCTCACTGAGCGGGAACTCAAAGTTCTCCTCGGCAAGGACGGGCACCACGGGCACTGGCCAGCGGATGTAGCTCGAGACATTGCCGCGCAAGGAGTTAACCTCGGCCAGGGCTCTTCCGAGCTGAAGACCCAAATTGGCATTCTCCCCGCGAAGCGCATTTAATTCTTCTCGCAGGGCCACGTTCGCCATGCGGAGGCTATTGAGATTTCCTGCTGCCTCGGACATCTGGGCTAGCTCGGGGCCGCGGGTCTGCGGGCGAGGGCGGGGGGCGGGGTGCTAGCGGCCTCGAGAGGAGGCCGAAATGCGGCGGCGGAGCGCGGCAGGGGAACGAAGTGCGGCGGCGGGGCGAGGGAGAGGCCGAGCCACACCCACCGGGGCGAGCACGGCCCGAGGGGCCGGCGGCGCGGCCCGGCCCGGGGCGCGTTACCTCGTCCACGGGATCGGAGAGGGCGGGCGGCGGCGGGAGCCAGGAGGAGCCAGGCGGAGGAGGCGGGCGGCGAGGCGGCGGCCGGGTGGGCGGCGGCTGGCGGAGCGGGAGGGAGCGGACTGCGGCAGGATCTGTCGAGGAAAATCTTGCGGCGAGCGAGTCCCTGCCTTTTAAGCGCAGACCCGCGCCGTCCCCCCACCCGCAGCCGGGGCGGGTCTTCGGGAACCGCGGGCGCCCACTGGCCGCCGCGCGCCGCCCCCGCCCCTCCCCCCATTCCCCGGGCTGCGCCTCTCACTGACTCTCTCCTTCCCTAGCTGCAGCTAACTCGGGTCGGGAAAATGCGACAGCGACTGCCCACTCGAGGTCGTCATGGCGACAGCCAGTGAACGTGTTCCTCTCCTCGGGCAGGCCCCCGAGTGTAGAGGAGCTGCTTCGCGAGGCGCAGCTCAATCTCCAGAGCCTGTTGCAAGGTACTGAGAGGGAGGGGGGCTGCGGCCGGAGCGCACAGGCAGGCGAGATGCGCAGCGGCTGGAGGGAGGCAGAGAAGAAAGAGGACAGGGACCGGCGAGAGAAAAAGAGAGAACAGTTTAAAATCTAGTGAAAAACAAAACACACATTTTTCATCTTTCACCTGCCAGACTAATGATTCGAAAAGGCTCTATTTCTACCTATTTACCTAGGCTGTTTACCCCCCCTCCTTTTTTCTTCAGTTCAGTAGTCCATGGGGGAAAAGGGACAGAGGCTGAGGCAGAGCAGTGGGTCAAGCCATTTACAAAGAGAGCTGGATGATAGACTCCCACAGTGTGGGCCCACATGGCTTCCAGACCTTCTCTTGCCACATCACCCATGCCTTTGGAATGCTGGCACCCAAAGGCAAAGGTCTCCCATTCTGGGCTTCACTCGTTCCGCTCTTGCAATAACCTTGTCCACATGTCTCCTGGGTAGCTACTGCCTCACCAAACGAAGCCCAATACCCAGCACCCAGAGCTCACCTCACACCCAATTCCCAGCCCCATGTCTTTGGAGTATACTGTTGAGCACGTTGTTTGCAAAGCTGGTGCACATGACCCAGAGAAGCAGCCCAGTCACAGTGCCTGAGCATTCAGACTGCACGCACCAGGCAGAGTGAGAAAACCCAGACTTTGAAATCAGACAGAGCTAGGATCTAATTGGAATCCCACATCTAACTGCTGTGTGATATTATGCAGATTACCGAAACTCTCTGAGCTTCAGATTAATCAGTCATCTTTAAAATGCGGATTCCAATTCCCCACATGGCAGTTTTGTGAGAATTAAAAATAGAGTGTATAGGGGTCGGGGAGGGTGGCATAGTAGTTAAGTTCGTGTGCTCCACTTCTGCAGCCCCGGGGTTGGCGGTTCAGATCCCTGGCGTGGACCTACGCACCGTTTATCAAGCCATGCTGTGGCAGCGTCCCACATGCAAAATAGAAGAAGATTGGCAGAGATGTTACCTCAGGGCCAATCTTCCTCACCAAAAAAAAAAAAAAAAAAAACAAGTAGAGTGTATGTAAACCACTTAGCAAGAATATCTTGCAGCTAGAGAGACCCTGATAAGATGCAACATCAACTCCCAGTACATGTCCTTTGGAACCTGGGCTGAGCTAGGCACAATATTAAAGTTAAGATAAAAGAAAAAACAATGTGGTCCCTGAATGAAATACGTACATACAATATGAAAAACATACACAATGACTAGAGGGATTTATCCTATGTAAGTGGCAAAGGATGAAAACTCAGTGCTATGAGAGAGACTACTGGGGTGCTGGAAATATCTGGATGGAGGCTACCAGGGGCATACATATGTCAAAATTCACTGAACTGCACACATAAGATTTGTCCACTTTACTGTAGGTAAGTTATACAGTATCTCAATAAAATAATACAGATAAAACCTCAGTGCTAGTCACAGGCTCTGTACACCCTCCAGGCACTCACTGTCCCACTCAGGCCTCTCTTCCAAGCCTGGACGCCCTTCCTCCCTCTTCCCCACTCCAATCCTTACACTTGCTTCCAAGTTCTATTTTTGCCGCATCTAAAAAACCTTTAACATGAGTTCTGCACTTTGCATCATTCCCTCCATAAGCACTCAGATGAGGCGCTTTGTACCGTCCAGTTCAGGAGGACTTGTATAGTTCTGAACTGCTTTTCTTTCATTTGTTTATTCATTTACTCATTCATCTACTAGTCCTGGGTCTATATTTTGTCCACCTAACTGGACTGAGCTTCTCAATGTAAAGAATCACATCTCTTACTACCCTTGGGTTTCCAGAAGCACCTGGCACAGGGCTGGATCCCCAAGAAGGGCTCAGCAGACACTTGTTGAGTGAACATTCAATGTGAAAAGAGGTCTTATCAGCTCTCGTTTATCCATACCAATGAAGGCTCTCTTCTAGAGGATAGAAAACCGCAGATGGGCCACCCAACTGGACTACAGCCATAACCCCCCCTCCCTGCCAGGACAGTGGTGACCTTAGAGAAGCAAGATTCCAAGGGACACCATGAGCCTTGAGTTCAGATAAGAGAGGAGCTACCAGGCAGGAAAAAAAGAGTCAGCATGCTCTGTGTTGCCACCATGGGCAGAATCAGGACTGGTGGGTGGAAACCTAGAGGGAGGCAGATTTCACCTGGTAAGGAAGAACTTTCCTGACATGCCTAACGGCCCCAACTCTCCTTGGATGGAATGAACTGCCTTGGGAGGAAGGTTTCCTCCCTTCTCTGCAGGTGTGTGTGGAGGCTAAAGAAGCATCTGGAAGGCCTGCTGAGGAGGAAGTCTGAGCCCAGAATGGGGTGTTGGACCAGAGACCCTTGGAGGCCCCTCCTGACTCCAAGTTTCTATTATTCTTAAAGTCTTTATTCAAATGTGCATAGAGCCCTGCCTGTTGATTCTTTCCTCTCACTTCCTTCATTTACTCATCAAATTCATCACTTAAATGAAACCCATTCAAATCATATGCATCCTTCTTATTCTCTGACGATGCCCCTGAACTTCTCCTTCCTTCTATGCCACTACCTCCGCCTTCCCTCTCCTTCACGTTAGCTCCCCTGGACCTGACACCACCTACAGTGGGACTAAGGTACAGGGAGCCAGGCCCTCGGAGGCTCAAGTAAGAGTTCTTGACATCCAAGGAGCACTCCACATTGGACTTCCCAATGCCCATGTTTTCAAGCTTCACACAGGTCATTTCCCTGGTAGGGTTGCAGAAAACGTGAAGAGCTGCAGGGCTTCAGAGATAGGACCTTGCAGCATAAAGTAGCAAAAGGTGTCTGCATCCTGAGTTTCTTCTCCGAGTTGAGCACGTAAGGTGAGGGCCATTGAGACAAGGGATTGGTCCCAGAACCAGCACAACTGGAATTTATTGACTCTCTTTTCTCCTCGGCCTTCATAGTCCCGGGAAGTAGTAATTTTTTTTCATTTCTAAACCCAGAGGCTCAGACGCCGGGAATATCCTAAAGAAACAATGCAAGTCAGGCCTGGCAGCTAGAGCAGGAGCCCGGCCCATGGTCCTTCCCCAGCCTGGCGCTTGGCCGTGGCCCCCAAGAGTGTGTATCCACTGTGCTATTTTTCAGAAGAATATGAGGAACAGTACTCGGAGGCCAGACTTCTGGGGCAGACCTTCCGCTCTGCTGATGAGGCCCCTGAGCCCACCCCCAGCCCAAGGCCCCAGTCTGCCAGGCGTCTGGAGTTTGTATTGATGGTGAGTTGCTTCTTCCCCCACTGAGAGAGCCAGCATGCAGAGCTCGCCCTGCACCCATTGACAGGAGACCTTGAGTTGCTTACATTACCCACTGGAAGCCGCTGCTCACCTCTGCTCACCAGCAGAGCTACCCTGAGGCCCCACCAAGATGGGCCCTGCACAGCAGGTGTCGAGCCTGGCAGCCTGTCCACGCTTTCCTGCCCCTCAGACAAAGCCTCTTGACCTCCCTGCCTAGACAGCCATCCTGTGGGCACAGCTCATCTCCAGTTGGGAGCACACCCTTCCCATCACCTTCTTTCCCAACAGCCTACAAAACGGCAGCTGAGCGAGGATGAGACTACCACCCAGGGTGTGAGGGCCCCTGAGGCCTCCCTGAGCCTGTCTACCACTGCCGACAAGCAAGCTGCCTGGAATAGCCCCTTCCCTCTGCCCATCCTAGAGGAGAAGCGGTGGCTTCAGCCCTGCTCCACGCACTCTGACATTGTGCCCATCAACATCTCTGGTAGAGTTGCTTAGCACCACTTCTGTTCACTTCCCTCCATGACAACTAGAGACCATTCTCTCCAAATGCACTGGGCGCTGGGGGAGGGAGTGAGACTATCTTTGCTGCTGACTCACCCTGCACTGTCAAGGTCATGGCTCTCACCAGGGAATGGAGGCATGCAGAAGAGGGGGCTCTGGCTGCTCTTTCTTCACTCTCTACTGGCACTGCCACACTAACTGAGACCATTTGATAGCAAACAAAATTTTTGTTAACAACAGAAAACTCTAAAACTTTATGAACTTGTGTGCTCTTTGGAACATCTATGAAAACTTAAAGTTTGTGAGTTATGTTTGGTTTGAAGAAAGAAAACTTCTTGTGCCACAAGCCGGGTTTGGAATACACAGATAGGAGTCTGGGGGGAAGTGTGGGGTTCAGAGTGCTGGTGGTAAAAGGGAGGATCATACCCAAGGCACAGACCAAGGGCCTTGTGGCACTTTAGGTAGACACTCAGTCTTCTAGTGAGGTGGCCTCCTCAACTTGTATGGCAAGTGTTTAAGAAGGGAAGTAATAGAAGGGGACCAAGGCAAGAAAGATCAAAGGGGGACCCAATAGTACCTTGAAAATGGGGAAATAATGTATGCAGCTCGGCTGGCTGTGACTTTGGGGCTATGTGGCACCCTATACCACGCCCATTATTAATTCATGCTCCACACTCCACCAGCTGTAAGTGGAAGAGGAGGAGGGTCAGTCATTTCAGAAGAAGATAGGGGCAGCAACCTGATGAAATCAAGACTTCATATCCCAAAGTGACCAGAGGCACCCTGTGAGCCCATGGAATGCTGGAAAAAGTTGAAGACGATGAGGACAGCTCTAGCCACGTGTGGTGATGCTCCCTGGATATGGGGTCATCCAGCACCGCTGGCGTCCTCTCAGGAAATCAGAGGCAGGAAATAGAGCCCAGAGCCTAGGGAGATGTACCAAGAGGAGTGAGGGCTGAGAGGAGAGACTCACAAAGTGATGGTGGATGCTTTGTTTCTAAACTTCTCTCTTACTCTCGATAAGGCTGGCCCTGAGTTTTGCCCACGGAGCCACTTTCTATGAGGGAGGCAGGTACATGTGCAGCCATGGGGCTGAGAGGGGAGGTTTTGGTTAGCCATCTGCTGAATGAGAGACAGTGGGTGGAGCAGCATACCTCACCCCACTGCCTCACCCTGCCCCTGCCCCAGCAACTCCACAGGAGCAAAGACTGACCCAGCACTTTAAGAGAAATAGATAGCAATCACCAGGCAGGGGCGAACTTTGATGAAATGTGATCAGGTGGCTGAAGGACAGACTACCAGGCTGCTTCCTGGATGGGGGGGGGCGGTGCAGTGGGGCAGCTTCTCGGACACACTGTCCTCAGCGGCCCACATAAAGGCTTTCCCTGAGAAAAGATTATAATGAAGCAACAACTAGTCTCAACTCATCTCTCTACACCAGTGGTTCTCACCCCAGGCTGTACATCTGAAAAATCAATCACCTAGGGATTTCGAGAAAAATGCTTTTACCTGGGCCCTACTCCCAGAGAGTTAAATGTTCTGGGGTGGGTTCCAGGTATTGGAGTTTCAAAAGCTGCCCAGTTTATTTCAATAAGTAGCCAGGGTTGAAAACCATGGCTCTTGGCCACCTAAGACTCACAGGTGACCCTGGGTGTGGCCTATGAAAGCCAGCATGTATGTCTTGGGGCTGCGGGTGCCTGTGGCAAGTTGGGAGGGATGGGGAAGAAGGACCTCCTGCCTGGATGCTATTCATGCTCATGCTACTGCCATCATCCCTTCTCTCTACCTCAGGCCAATTTCCACTGTACTGTAAACAGAAACCAGGATGTACCCAAGTGTCTTTATTTTGGCTACAGGGCAGCAGTTTGATAAACACGCAAGTTTGCGACACTCGTTGTTTAACACAGAGACAGCCGTGAACCCCAAGTCCACCCTGAGGCGGAGGCGGACCATTATTGGATTCTCTAACTTTTCCCGGCGAGACCCAGGTGACCCCCCCAGCAGCTGATCCCCCGGACCTTTCCCCTTGCTCACTCCCACCAGTCCCGCCACCCAGGTGGTATTGCAGGGATGGGGAAAAGGAATAATTCGGGGCAGGGGGTCTTTGGACGTCCTGAAAAAGCCAATGTGGTAATCAAGGGTAACAAAGGGCCTTTTGTCAAGGGTAGCAACTGAATATGGAGAACAGGCCTCCCAAACTAGTAAATTCATTATGTTATTGTTTCCCATTATAAATGGACTATAACCACATATGTCAGATTTAGGCAAATAGGTAAAGGAGGGAATCATAGCTAAAAGCACCATCTTAACAGAACCATTACTGCCATTAAGTGAATGCTGGCCAAAGAGCACAGACAAGAGCGATGTGGCTGTGAATCCTGGCTTCTCCACTTACTAACCATGAGGCCTTGGCCAAGTTATGTGACTTCTCTGAGCCTCAGCTTCTTCATCTGTAAACTGGGGATGATGGTACCAACCCGGTGGTGGTGTTGTGAGGATTAGAGTTATTGTATGTAATTTGCCTACCATAGGCCTGGTACAGAGTAGGCATTCAACAAATGGTGGCAGCTATTATAAATCATCATTGTAGTAGTAGAAATAATAATCATAATAATGATATCACAGTAATAATTGTTGTATAGATGAGAAGATCTTTGGGGATTTTGAACATCTGAATGGTTTCCTCACATCTGTAGGTTATCCTAAGTCTCTCATGTTGCAAAGCTAAAAAGTGACAGGTGCCAAAAATGCAACCAGACTCTGAGATTTCCAGCTGTGGCATACTCCAGATGCATTGCTAGAGCTGAAAGTCACACAGTGCTGTCCTTTATCAATTCGAAAGCCTCTGCTCTCATCTCAGGAGAGGTGAATGCTGAGGTTTGTGATGGTTTCATGAGCCTGGGGTGAAAGCACGGGAAAAACCCAAGGTAGTCCCACATGCCACTTCAGCTCTAAAAGGAATAATCCAAACTGGAAAGGCTTTGGTACCCATCTGGACAATTCAAGGGCACCCTGTGACTCACTGTGTAGTGATGGGCAAGGACCCAACTTCCCCAGCATCTTCATCTATGGAAAGGAAGAACCAAGGAATTCTGACCAAGCTGTTGGCAAATGATTCTTGGCATAAATTTGGTGTTCCCGTCTTGAGACAGATGCTGGGGGATCCCTGGCTGCACCATTAACGTTCTATGTTTACCTCTTCCAGGTCACAGCAACAGCCCAGCAGGCAGTGTGGTCCGCTCTACCACCTCAGACATCAGGCCCAGTCATTCAGTTCCAGAAGGCGTTCATGGCAGAGTTGCAGTTGGTCAGGAAGCTCAGTTCCCAAATCTCACCTCGCCAGTACTGAGAAATCCTTCTAGTGATCCAGAAGAACCTCTCCAGGCACGTGGTGGCACAAACCCTCCTGGCATGGAGAGCATGGGAATGGTGTACAGCGTCCCCGGTTCTTGCAATGGACCAACAGAGTCCACGTTCTCCACTTCCTGGAAGGGAGATGCTTTTACCTACATGACTCCAAGTGCCACCAATCAGAGCAATCAAGTCAATGAAAATGGAAAAAATCCTTCCTCTGGGAATTCTTGGGTCTCTCTGCACACACTGCCACCTCTGGTTCCTAAGGAGGCTGCTACCCTCTTTGTCACTCGTGATAACCCAGCAGGATGCAGTGGATCAGCTGGCTACTCTGAGCACCCTACTCAACGAAGGCAAGTATTGGAACGACCCTCCAAGATTGGCCTTCTGACTGGTGGTACCTCGAGGCTGGAGACAGGCCCAGGTGGGGCCAGCAGGTTCCGGGAGCGGTCACTGTCTGTGCCCACAGACTCAGGCACCACAGATGTGGACTATGACGAGGAACAGAAGACCAGTGAAGCCTGTGCCCTGCCTTATGCCAGTACAAGTTCTGAGGGCAGTAACAGTGCTGACAACATTGCCTCCCTTAGTGCCCAACAGGAGGCCCAGCACAGAAGGCAGAGGTCCAAGAGTATCTCACTCAAGAAGGCCAAAAAGAAGCCTTCCCCACCAATGCGCAGTGTCTCACTGGTCAAAGACGAGCCAGTCCTCTTGCCAGAAGGTGGATCAGCACTACCCAAGGACCAGAGGCCCAGGAGCCTTTGCCTCTCCTTGGAATGCCAAGGACATCATTCATCCCACCCGGATGCTCAGGGTCACCCAGCTGTGCCAACCTTCAAAGATCCAGAAAGTACACAATTCTCCCACCACTGGTATCTTACTGACTGGAAGTCTGGTGACACCTACCAATCTTTGTCCAGCTCCAGCACTGCCACTGGCACCACAGTCATTGAGTGCACCCAAGTTCAGGGCAGCTCAGAGTCTCTTGCCTCCCCTTCCACCTCCAGAGCCACTACACCTTCCCAACTCTCCATCGAGGTGGAGGCCAGGGAAGTATCTTCCCCAGGAAGGGCCACAGGGCTGATGTCACCCTCCAGTGGTTACTCCAGCCAGTCGGAGACACCAACACCCACTGTCTCCATGTCCTTGACCCTGGGCCACTTGCCCCCTTCAAGCGGCAGTGTCCGAGTGCGTCCAGTGGTACCTGAGAGGAAGTCATCACTACCCCCGACATCACCAATGGAGAAAATTTCCAAGTCACGGCTATCATTTGACCTACCGTTGACCTCTTCAACCAACCTCGATCTGTCTGGGATGAGTATCTCCATCCGAAGCAAAACCAAGGTGAGCCGGCATCACTCAGATACAAATTTTGGGGCCAAGCTGGCCCAGAAAACTAGCCCCAACCAGCCAATCATGCCCATGGTTACTCAGTCTGACCTACAGTCTGTTCGCCTGAGGTCAGTCAGCAAATCTGAGCCAGAAGATGACATCGAGGGCCCTGACTATGCTGAGGAATCAGGAGCAGAAGTCTTCACCTTGCCAGAAAGAAAAATGAAACCTCCCATAGCTGAGAAGCCCCCACTGGCTCGAAGGCCTCCAAGCTTGGTCCACAAGCCACCAACTGTCCCTGAGGAGTACTCACTAACTTCGCCTACCTTGGCTATGACCCCCAAGAGCTCAAGTCAACACATGAGGCCACTCCCTCAAGACATCTACATGGTGGTGCGGAAACCAAAGTCCTCCAGCTTCCCTGAGGGCAGAAGCCCAGGGGAGTCCACAGCACCCTCACCTTTTGTTTTCACACCTTTTGCCAGTTCCTCTATTGCTTTCTTCTCAGGAACACAGCAATCTCCCCAGGGAAGTGCGGAGGATGAGGGCCCCAAGGTGAGATCCCTGCCTGAAAGAATTAGTCTCCAGAGCCTGGAAGAAACTGAGAAAAAGAAAGGCAAGATTCCACCTCCTGTACCAAAAAAGCCCAGTGTGCTCTACCTGCCTCTCACCTCACCCACAGCTCAAATGGAGGCCTATGCGGGCGAACCAAGACTGCCTCTCAGCCCCATCATCACCCTGGAGGAAGATGCCAAGTGTCCCCCCACCGGAGACCACTTGCAACCACCTGATACAAGGATAACTTCAACGTCGCAGGCTGACGGTGAAAGGGAGGCAAGCCCTCTGGGTTAGTAAACTGTCTGCTGGCTTTTCCTTTCAATCCCAGGAGAGATGACGGTGAGGATGGAGTGCCAGAGACAGAAGCAAATGCCCTCAAATAATGATCCTGATTCCAGGATGACCAAGTCGGTAGGGGGTACCTCTTGAGGGCCTGGGTTACTCTAAATAGGCCTCACTGCCCTTGGGATCAGCACTGACCAGTTTGGGCCAGTCTACCCTGGGACCCCCAGTGCTGAGATAATAAAATCAAACTGGGTCTTACCACCCTAGGATCTTAAGAGTCCATCCACCTAGTGAGGCATGCATCCCTTGCGTTAGAAACTCTCTTTCCACCTCACTGTAGAGTACTTTTCACTAGCGGCACTGAATCCAGTTTCATGCACAAGACTCAGTACCCTCCCAGACTGAGTTCAAGTGCATGGCAGGCTTGCAGGCTTCTGAAGCAATGCAATATGTTAGTAGCAGCAGCCTGTCTTAGTGCTTTCTAGAGGAAAGGGAGTTCACTTTCTTGGATGGTTTGAGGATAGATCCTCCTGGAACAATAAATAAGACTAGGCTAGATAATGTTTGTCATCCTTTTTGTTTTGTTCCTGTCTCTTTTTGTTTTAATTGTGATAAAATACACATAACATAAAATTTACCATCTTAATCTTTTTTCTTTTTTTTGTAAGGAAAATTAGCCCTGAGCTAACATCCATTGCCAATCCTACTCTTTTTGCTGAGGAAGATTGGCCCTGGGCTAACATCTGTGCCAGCCTTCCTCTACTTTATACTTGGGATGCCTGCAACAGCATGGCTTGATAAGCGGTGCATAGGTCCATGCCCAGGATCCGAACCTGTGAACCCTGGGCCGCTGGAGCAGAGCACACAAACTTAACCACTATGCCACCGGGCCAGCACCCCTATCTTAATAATTTTTAAGTGTACAGTTCAGTAGCGTTACGTACATTCACATTCACGTACATTGCACGTGTTGTGCAACCATCACCACCATCTATCTCCAGAGCTCTCTTTGTCTTGCAAAACTGAAGTCTGTACCCATTAAACACTAACTCCGCATCACCCCCTCCCACAGCCCCTGGCTCCACTATCTACTTTCTGTCTCTATGAATTTGACTCCTCTAGGTACCTCATATAAGTGGAATCATACAGTGTTTGTCTTTTGGTGACTGGCTTATTTCACATAGCATAGTGTCCTCCAGGTTCATCCATGTTTCTCATCCTTTTTTGAATCCTTAACACCAAACATCAAAATCTTATGGTGTTCCTTAAGCTGATTTGGACTTTCAAGTAAGTTAAATCAGTGTGACTAAAACAAGCAAACAAATCAAAGCCACAGGTAATTTTAGAATATGCTTCCTCAAACTCCACAGGCTCCCTCTGAGATTCAAATAGGTCCCACTCCCACCTACTGGTTGAGTCATTGCTTTAGATTGCTCTCAGCTCCTTGATTTTTAAAAATGATGCATTTAAAACAAGAGAATGCTCAGGCAACCTGTTGTAATGGAAAAGACATGAGAGAACAGGGACCCAGGCCAATCTTCACCACTCACTCGACCTTGGCCAAATCACTAACCTTCTGAACATCATGTTCCTCTGCGAAATGGAGGCATTAAGAGTCTCCACCCTGCTGCCCTTCCAGAGTTGCTTTGAACATCAAACGAAATACGTATAAGGATGTGCTTTGTCCTAACTATTGTAGTCAAAGTAATTCCCTCTGGTTTTTATGTCTAGGAAGTTCTATGGAACCAAACACCGAAGAAAAAAGTGTAATCAGTGATAAAACGGCCGAATGGATTGCGGAAGATGATGATGACGTGTTTGTGGCCTCACGCACAACTGAAGATTTATTTACTGTAATACACAGGTCTGGACTGATTTCCTTAATTCCTATTGTAATTGCCTTCCCTTTTTATACCAAAAGAAAAACTGCTACCTCTAAGCAGCCATTAGAATTGAAACTGGAGACTAAGTTCAGATACCCACTTATGTGAACACAGTCCAGGGCCTCATATCTCTATTTCATTGACATCTTTGGGTGAAGTGGAGGAGGGGTGGGGAAGGGAGGACCAGGTGCGAAGTGAGAGGCCCCTTGTCTCCTAGCAACTGCATGGCCTATTGTGGCTCCATCTGCTCTCTCACAGTTCTGTCCACAGTCAGAGACATTTAACCCTTCACAGAATTTCTTGTACCAAAAAATCTCCTCGAGAAGTGATGGGGGACACGAGGCTGAGTATCAAAGCGGGAACTCAGGCAAGGGGGGACCAGATGGGGACCCAGTTATTGGACAGGGGCACAAAGCAGGGGCTCAGTGGTGAGGAAACTGGGAAGAATCCAGTTACTGGAGTGGAGGCACCAGTTCAGAACAGGATCAGCTCCCAGGCTGTCTTCATTCAGAGTCACTGAGCTACTAGCCTTGATTCCTTAAATTCTTCCTCGGTCCCAGAACCTGGGCAGGACTGAGCCTGCAGGCACAGGCCAAGTGACTCCAGCTGTGGGCATTGAAAGGAATGTAGGGACAGGGGTCCGGACAAGGGACTCTGAGGACTTAGTGGTGAGAGAGAAAGCTGGTAAGTATGACTGCTTGCAAGACTGCTGCAGAGAAGTTCCCAGATCATGTCACTGGCATTCTTGAAGTTATATGAAGCATTAGGAAATGTCTGCCACATGAATTCACTCAAAACAAACATTCTCTTATTTAGGTCCAAAAGAAAGCTGCTTGGCTGGAAGGAGCCTGGTGAGGCCTTTGCCGGCGGCAGTAGACCAAGTTCCCACTCACCAATAAGGAACACAGCTGATTCTCCAATTAGTGAGTTGGCTGCCTCTGCAGGGTCAAGTGGCAGTGCCAACCTAGATGCTGGCAGAAACGATGATTTCAAGGCCTTGCTACAGAAGAAGGGAAGCAAGGCAACTCCAAGGTCCCGCCCCTCAGCAGCTGAACTGCTGAAGACCACTAACCCACTGGCTCGGAGAATTATTGCACAATTTTCAAAAGACTACGAAACCACCGATAACCCCAGTACCTAAGCCCTGGGTTCAGCAAGCAGGGTTTAGTTACTAAACTTGAATAGAGAAGGGGGAAGAGAGTTTTAAAAAGGAACCATGGAAATAACAAAAGCGCCTACATTTCTTTTACATTAACTCACACTCTGGACAGCAGGAGAGAGGCCACTTTATCTAGAACTAAAATCGTCAGGCACTTTAAGCATCTTCAGACACTTTACGTTTTCATACTTACGGTCTTACCATTACTGGACTACCGATTTTCTCCTTATTTTCCCCCAATGGTGTGCACTAAGAAGAAATTCTCAGATGCAAGCGCACATATGCCATCTTTTCAAACAATGGTCAGGCTGCTCCAACCATGGCTCCTGTCACTGAGGGGTGTAGGGTGAGAGCAGATCGGGGGCTGCCAAACCTGGGGAGCATAGGGTGCCAGTGCTGAGTATTCCCTTTCCTGGTAAGGCCTTGATGGCCCTGTATGGAGAAACAGAAAGACTGATGCCTCTTCATCTCCGGTTTAACTCTCCCCCACAAGAGGTTTGCAGGTGTGCACTTATTTCGGCATGGGGTTGATTGAATGGCTTTTGTCGTACAAAATATGAATGTGTCTCTGTCTTGAACTTCATGCCTTTTTAAGTTTGATTGTCTACACGGAGATCAGAGTGATGAGTTTCAATAAACATATAGACCCGCCCCCACCACTCCTTAGCTTGAAAAGGTCAGGACTGGGTTGCTTTGGGTGAACCAAGCTCAGCCAATAAACGAGGCAGCCATTCGTTCACTCAAATCTATCCAAGGTAACTCGCACAGGCGCCTTGAAGATCCTTCAAGTGTCTGTCAGCAATGATAGCTAGGATCTGTGCCCAGCTCATGCTGCATTCTAAGAACTCTTGTTTCATTTGCATATAAGATTCATTACAGGAAGTAGTAAGCTGAAGGAACAGCATCATCAAAGGCTCAAGGAGGAGAAAGTAAGAAAGTGTAACTTGCCCCCCACCATTTAGTTCAGATTGTGGTTTGTGGTTGGTTTTGTTTTGTTTAAAGGAAGCCTTACTCTGTTCCAAAACCGAGAACATATAGACTAAAAGGATATGTCCAAAATCTAAAATGCAGCCTTACAAGTTGCTATGGCTCATAACACCAAAAAAGGGCTACTTTTTGCCATTTAGGTTCTGCTGTTTGACCAACTTTCAATTAACCATGCTTGGGGAGAGTGTAAGAACTGGGGTAAATGGGTTGCTGACAGACCCCAGAATAATCATGGCGACCCTCCCAAAAAATTTATAGGCACTAACTATTCTTGTCAGTTCAATTTTCTAAGCAGAGCAAGAGCAGTGATTCATTTGATTTTCATGTCTGGTTTCTGGGAGGTTGGGGGAAAAAACAGACAAAGCATTGAACAAAGAAAACTGGCTGACCAAGAATGGAGGGTTAATTGCCCACCATTCCCAAGAGGGAAAAAGAAAAGTCAAATGAAATTGTAGTCTGTTGGCAAAAAGCATTCCCCGACCCCTTCCTCCTTCATCTCCCACCCAACAGATTCATTGGTCCACCGCCTGGAGGATGCAAAAACTGCTCCAGAGACAAGCAGATCTTGATTTTGATAGGTCACATTGCTCACCAATGAGAAGCAAGCTCTTAACTACCCACACTCCAGTGGACAGAGCAGCTGAAAAACCACTCAGTTCTGAGGAGATTTGGGCCTGGCACACAGAAGCCCTAGGCCTAGGTCCTTGGTTGGTACAGTTCTGAACTCTAGGCTTGTGAGCACAGGCCAGGCCCACCAATCAGCACTTGCAATCAGCACTTCCCAGTTGCTTTTGAAATCATTCCAACTACTTGGTTTGAAGGTCCTGACCAAATTTCAGGAGTTTTGTCTGAAATAAAATAGATTCATTCCTGGCCTTAATTTATATATGAATGCCACACTTGTCTGCCTCAGACTCAGAATTCCAAAAGATGGAAACATTTTCCTCTGTAGAGAAATGAAGGAGTGTTCGTCTTTTTGCCTAACAGAAGAGAAAAGTTGCCAGGGCCTTCTCCTTGGGAACCATTATGAATAGCTGAACTCTAAAGCTGAGTATGAGACTCACATAGTATAGGACTTGTTACTTCTGCTGATTTTTCTGGAAGCTTCTTGTTTGCTACTTCTAGTGGGTTTGCCTCTCCCCTCACCTTGCTTCCTCTGGTGGTTTTCCCAAAAGAATCTAAAGCTGAATGCCCAGACACCTTTACATTTTTCAATTACCTTGAGTCTTGCTTTTCTCTACAATACTCTGTATGTCTGGAGTTTTTAGAATATCTTCTACATCATCACTGTGGCCCTCAAATGCCCAGTAGTGTTTCCATTTGCACAAGAGGATTTGGGGCAGAGATTGTATGGTCAGAGGTAACATTAAGGATTGGAAATATTCATTTAATATTTTTCAACATGTAGACCTAGTCTCAAACAATCAACCAAACTGTAGAATTTCTACCAATCATTAATGAACATAACACTGAACATCTCTCCTACTCCTAACACTCAACCTCTCTCCTCCCCTTGCTTATCATAACACCAACTCTCTCTCCCACCCAGGCACATACCAGTGTTTGCTGCCTTCTGCACCTACCCGTTGAGACTGGTGAAGAAGGCTGAAAGGCCCTCCAGGAAGGCTTTCAGAGAACCTACTTCTGTCACTATTACTAGTGCGAATAGTAAATGATAACAGTTTTTGAAAGTGGAATACACAAAGGGTTCAAATGAAATGAAGTTGTCCCCGGGAGGTCAGCTTCTCGTTCAAGTTGTTTTTACCCCTTCATTTCCTCTGATTCCAACCAATAGCAGCAGGTGGCTCTACTAGGCTGACTTCAGTCTAGTCAGGAGTAGAGGAAGTCCTCCCCAGGAGAGGAGGTTAATTGATAGCTAAGAGTGCTTTGCACTTGGTGGGTATTCATTATGTATTTGTGGTTCAAATGTTGAGGGTAGAGAGCAAATCATTCTCAGTACAAGAGGAAGCTTCTCTGGTGGCTCTGCTCCTTTCCCTGACTCAGTCTCTTGTCTGGGTCTCCCACCTGGCCCCAACGCGTCCTTCAGCTCCAATTCCTGTGAACTGCATCCCTAGCCGACAGCTCACCCTTTAAGGAGGCAAGACCAGAAGCAGCAAAATAGTTTGTGTTAGCTTAATGACCACAAATCAACCAGTTGATCAGCAGGCATTACCTTGAATGTGCAAAGACAAAGGAGATCTACAAAGCTCTTGCAACAAGTATTTCGCGGGACATCCATTGTAACTCTGTAGACAACACGGATCGGATTGCGATCCTGCGGGACCTATCAGTCTGAGCAGATCTGTCCATGCACCTGCCCTCTTCCTCATAAGCAAACTATTTATTCCCTAAAAAGATGAGTTCATGGTCAGTGCTCCATTCGTCGCCAGTGCAGCCTTCCATTACCACCAAGTCTGTAACATAATGGTGATATATGATTTGCCAGGGCCAGGGCTAGAGTGAGGTGAGTGAGGCGCCTGGGGTACAAAATTTAAGGAGGCACCCACTCTCAGGGCCATGCAAGTGCCTTACCCTCGTCCTGGCCCTGCTATTTGCACTCTATAAAGTAGTATTCCTTTATCTTCTTCCTGTGGACAAGTACAGTTCTTCTGATTTAGGGGGGTAACTGTCCCTATCTGTTGTTGTACCAAATGTTTTGTTGCCATCTATTTTTTCCATTGCTGTAAACCTTTGTATGCCTACACATCAAAGAGTCTTCAATATCATCAGAAAACATGATTGCTTTCTAAATAACCTGCTCCAGGTGGCAAGTTAGCACCCATTTCAGTAGGAATGCTGACAGGGACAGCCTTTCAGCAAAATGGTGAATGAGTTGGAGGTGTGTCATTGGGATCCTCGGTCTCCTCTTTCTGCTCCATTCTCCCCAGACCTTGCTTCCCAGCACCAACTCTCCTGAGTGCCTCCTAGTTTGTTCTCCTCCTCGCTAAGAAAAGCATGCTCTCAGGAAAGGGATCAGTTCCTTTACTTTGAGATTATAAGGCTGAATGCTACCTCTTTTGAGGGTTGCTTGCATTTTAACAGGGGAAAAGCCTTAAGCCAAAGGAATGAAGTTCTACTTGTAGAATTTTAAGCATCAATTAGTTGCAGAAGTGTATTTTTCACCATGAAAAGGCCAAATTCCCTGACAGCTAACTCCAGAATATAGAAAATATCTTAATCTTCTGGAATTATCTTAGTAAATTGCTGATGGTTGATTAAATTGTCCTGATACCCAGTCTTGTTCAGTGTGGTTACTACCAAGGGACTCTCAGAAATGGTTACTAAAAGCCACTGAGAAGGCCTAGATAATTCATATTGTACATCATTAACATTTTTACACAAATGGAATTAATACTACTTATCATTTGAGAAACAGAACGCAAGGATTTAAAGAGTTTGTGAAAATGTGTCCTGTTTGTGAAAGGTGAAACCGTCCAATCAATGTCCAAGCGATGTCAGTCGTCTGGTATCAGTGGTGGTGATTAAACTTATTGGAGGTACAACTTTGTTGAACACAATTCTCTGCTTCCCCCTTCACTTATCTATGTTTTGTGCTATCACTTCAGCTTGGTGTGAGAATAAGACCAGATCTATACCAGAGCACCCAGTCCCTCTGAAGCCTTTGCATGTATTTCAGCTATAAGTGACTAAGATATTAGGGATTTAAAAGGACAAGAGAGTGGGAAAGAGGTACAAAGAGCTGCCTTTGTCAAAGAGCAGCAAAAATTATAATGATTTAAACAATGACATGAAATAAAGTTTTAGAACACTCTGAAACAGATTTATAGAGCAATACAGTAGTAAATGGTTGTAGACACACATTTGAGGCGCTTTTAATAAGTTTAGCAAAAGGAAATTTGTGTAAGTAATGGATTATGTGAAATAGGTATATACTTTTGTTTAGTAAGGCCCAAAATCTAGGCCAGTGGTTCTCAAAGTGTGGTCCCAGGACCAGCAGCAGCAGCATCCCTGGAATATATATGTGTATGTGTGTGTGTGTGTGTGTGTATTCCAGTGATGTTCCTTCTTCAAGCCCCTAAGTCGCTATAGCCATGACTCTCCAAATGATTCCAATCTTTCCTGTCATTTCTGCCGTCATTACAGTGATCAGTCTCTGGCCAAGTGATGGATATCGTCATGTTGAGCAAGTATATGTTTGATGTTAAGAAATTACCAGATTGAATCAATGTTAAGAAATTACCAGATTGTTCAACCTGCAAAACGTTTGCTTTGACCTAGCCAGCACATCCGGCCTGTTTTGGTTTAAAAAAATTTTTTTTTAATTCACAAATAGGAAAAAGGAAAAGGTGTTAGTTTGTTTGGTTTTGCCAACCCTTGAATACCTGTCTTCACCATGGTAGCTGTTTTCTAAGAGGGCTCTGGCAGAAGTATATTTGATTTTAAGATTTTGCCTAAATAGTGAAATTTGATATCAACAAATCCACAAACAAAATCTGAACTAGAACAAACAGTTAACCCCTCTCAGCCTCTCTTTAATGCCAAGCTTTACAGAAATTTATTCCCTACATGACATTGAGTTTTTTTTAATGTCCAATTTTATAAAATGTTATGCATGCAAATGCAGCATCGTGCTCATTGTACAAGTCACCCCAAACTCATTTCCTCCTCCATATGTATGATGGTGAAGAAATATCAATATGTATGTTCTTACCTCTCCTGATCAATTGTAAATTACAAATCTTTTCATTAATTTTTAAATGAGATATATTTACTCTGGCTAGTAGTTAAAATTTTATTCTTTTTATTATATTTCATTGCTACTCTTTTCTACTGACTCCAAAGCTTACTTTGGGGAATATTTCTTATTTTTAGATTGTTGTATTTATCTTATTTCTATATTTATCTGTAGTCACGGAATGTTAGAGCTGAAAGGGACCAACCTCTTATTTTACAGATGAGGAAACTGAGGCCCAAAAAGGTCAAATAACTTACACAAGGTCACACAGTGGCAGGGCCTGGCCTCAATCCCAGGTCTCCTGCCTCTGGGCCCAGTGTTTTTTCATTTAAAGCACTACATTTATAGAAGACCTACAGCTGGCTTCTACTTTTATGATACATGAATTTCCCAGGTATTTCAGTTAACTAATACAT